GAAAGTGGTGACACAGAGTTCCCCACGTAGTATGAATACGATAGTAAAACAAGACGTACAGATAGGGTTAACCGCGGTCAGATGAATGAGAAAAAGCTATAATTTTATACCGGTACATGTATCTGAATGTGAAAAGGGAAAAGCTGACAAATAGATCTAGAACTAAAACTCTGAAATTGACTTTCGAGATCTCCTTTAGTAACGACTATGGATTCGTTATAATCCCATAATTGCCCCACGTTCACACACTACAGTATGGCACACGGACCTCTTTAAGTATAATAGGATAATTGTATACTCAGTTTGTTAAAATCGTATTTAATCGAAGTTCATTCCCCCTTTAGATGCTGTTTTTATTCAATTACTGGACAAATTAGTTTCTGAGCAGATGTGGACACGAACCTGGCCTAGCGCCAGTGATAGGCCTACTTTGTCGTTGGTCAGCGGTTAAGATGCGTGAAAAATTGTGAAATTGTATAGGTTTAACGCCCCTATCAACACCATTAGGTTATTCAAGAGGCGGGATCTCCGAGTTTAACGTCCATCTCCGAAAGGACCGAGCCAAGTGGGAAATTCGTGTTAAGTGTCTTTCCCAAGGACTGAGCTGAGGCTCGAACCCCCGAACCCGATATGTCGCGATTACGAGTCCAGTAGCCTAACCACTAAGATGCACGTACAAAGTCCAAGATTTTGAGTGGGTGGTTGGAGGGCGCCGCTGGTTGGTCCTACTTCTTTACTTTCCCCTCTGTAATTTCTGTCTGTCTGTCTTACTTTTTCCCAGCTCTAAATGACCATTATTGTGTCGATATGCTTCTCTACAAACAAACAAACAAACGAGATTTTGATTTGTTTAAACTTGCAGTCTCTTGATATAATTAATATGTGATTCAGCTTGCATGTGCTCAATAAATCAAATATTTTGTCGAAATTTCAATTCTAAATTTTCCACAAAAAAATCAAGAAAATATCCTTAAAGTAGACCTGGGTACAACTGTCTAAAGAATAAAACAGGGGTTTTTTTTCATCCTGTAAAATCATGTTTTCTGGGTTTAGTTCATTAAAAGAGCTTGCCGACTTATTTCTTCCTGGGTCATGGGGCTGTGCCTTGCAAAAGTCGTCATACATGTATCTGGTGTTAACTCTACAAGTTTACCAAAGGGAGACAACTGAATGTAAACGTAACATGTTTGCCAAATGAAAACGCCATATTGTTAACTTGTTGAATATAAACTTTACATATAAGCTGAGAGGAAACACCACCATATTGAATAAGTCCTACCGTAAAGTGGTGCCAATTCAAAGTTATAGAGATCGATCAATCAAAGTGCGATTTTCCATCTTCGGTACCCGACACCTTGATATCACCAGTGTGGTAACAAACTGCACCTTCTACCTTTACCCGTCTCTGATACCTTGACGCCGCCGGCGTGGCCCCAAACAACACAGTTTAGGCTACAACAACCAGGGCCGTCGAGAGCCAGGTCGGGCCGTGGGGCAGCAATCACCTTCGGG